TTTGATGATCTGAAGTTTGGAGTTTATTAAGTCTCCCTCCAAAATTGTAACTCAATACAATTTAGCAAATAAAATAGAGGTATAAGTATTGGAAAGGAAGAGGTAGCAGTTATGTAATTCCTAGATGGTAAGATTTATTGCAGGGAAACACCATATGAACTAAAACCAATGTGTTGAAATGAATAGTGTTCCATAGGTAACATGCAGCTAAAAAACAAAATGTTTTTACCCATAATTAGTGCTTTCAGCACTGATATATAAGTGAGATTTCTTGCTTCTGGATGAAATTGATGGCAAGGCTAATAGCTTCTTCAGGCATTCTAAGATAATAAAGAATATTTGGTACACTTAATCACTACGCCAGTCTCATTTTAGAAATTAAAAGTTATTTTGCAAGTTAAAATATTTACTGTATCAGTCAATACTTCAGACTTTAAAAAATATATTTTTTTTATTTACTTATTTTTAGAGAGGGGACAGGAAGGAGAAAGAGTGGGAGAGAAACATCAATGTGTGGTTGCCTCTCATGTATACCCCGCTGGGGGCCTGGCCTGTAACCCAGGCATGTGCCCTGACTGGGAATTGAACAGGCGACCCTTTGCTTCACAGGCCCGCACTCAGCCCACTGAGCTACACCAGCCAGGGCGTTTCAGACTTTACTTAAGACAATATCCTTTCTTCCTGGAAGCCTACAGAGTGGAAAGATCAATTTCTTCTCTAGTTCTACTAATTTTCTATTTCCCGTACTACTAAAAAGTGTTGCTTACTAGTTAGTATTTAAGTCAGTTATTCAGAAATTAATAATAAATCATTAATTTTCTGTAATTAACTGTGCATATTAAGTAGTGTTAACAGATGAATCAATAAAGAGATGAAGTAGAGAGGAAGTCCGGATATTCTCAAGAAGATAGATATGTAATATATGATAAAGATGGCATTTCATGTCAGGTGAGAACTATGGATTATATGTCATGTAGTATTGCTAAACAACAAGCACTGGAAAAAATCTTCACAAAACAAAAATACTATTTTTTAAGAATGTTTTTCTTTTTTAATTTAATCATTTTTGTAGTTATTACCATTTAGTCCCCTTAAACCCCCCAGCAATCATCACACTGTTGCCCATGTCCATGAGTACTTTAATAGTCATATGAATAACTAAGACAAATATTTGCAATTCTGAATAGATAAAGGGTTAACTTATAAATTTTAAAAATGACACTATCAACCAATTAGGAAATAAAATCCCATGAGAAAAAGGGACATACTAGAACAAGATGCCATCATGAAAAATAAATAGAAGCTTTAAACTTATTTTAAAAAACTTTTATTTATTGATTTCTAGAGAGAGAGAGAGCGACATCAATTTGTTACTCATTGATTGATTCTTGTATGTGCTCTGACTGGGGATGGAACCCACAACCTTGTTGTACCAGGATGGTGCTCTAACTAACTGGGCTATCTGGCTAAGGCTGCCTGTAAACTTTTTAAAAGAACCTTATTCTTCCCTGGCTGGTGTAGCTCAGTGGATTGAGCGCGGGCCTGTGAACCAGATAATCGCGGTTCGATTCCCAGTCAGGGCACATGTCTGGGTTGCAGACCAGTTCCCTGCAGGCCAGTTCCCAGCAGGGGACACCCGAAAGGCAACCATACATTGATGTTTCTCTCCCTCTCTCCTTCCCTTCCCCTCTAAAGATAAATAAATAAAATATTTAAAAAAAAGAACCTTATTCTTCCTCATATAAGAAATGTGTAAATTCAAATTGTAATATCGATATCAGAAACTGAAAAATTATGTCAGCTAGACACAGGATGGCAGTGTGCAGTGGAATGGAGGCTGCACCTGGTGTTTACTGAGGTTGACTCCCTTTCCCATTCCTTCTTTGAGCGCAAATCACTGGAAGCCCAGAGGATGGGGGCTGGGCAGGGACAGGGGAACCTGCAGTAGCTGAACTGTGAGCCTGTGTCCAGCCCGTGCCACCTAGCCCAGCCCAGCCTGGCCCTATCCCAATCATTCCCGGTCTCTGGTTTCCTCTCCTGACTGATTGCTTGGTACACCACCACCAGCTCTCCAAAGCTGAGGACTCTTCTCCACTCTGGGCTCATCTCCACTTTAGAGATGCTTGGCTTCCCTCCCAAAGAGCCAGCCTTCAAAACTGGAACTTCTGGTCCAACACCTGGTCCTCATTCCCTCCACTGAGACCCCACTCACTTTTAACCCACTTCTCTCTCAGATTGTTGATTCTCTCCCTTAGTTGGAAACTTACCACTGACCTTTCAAATTAATCCTTGACTCCCCCAGCCCCCCAAATTTTTGGCATCCTTGCCACCTCCTTCAACTGGGAGCCAGACTTCCTTCTGACTAACCTCTGTAGCCCTATCATGGAGGCTGTGTACCTGGTTGTGAATGGTGTGGGCCTGGTGCTGGACGTGCTGACCCTGGTGTTGGACCTCAACTTTCTGATAGTGTCCTCCCTCCTGGCTTCCCTGGCCTGGCTTCTAGCTTGCATCTACAACCTGCCACACACTGTACTGACTTGTCTTCTGCACTTGAGCCATGGAGTACTATTTTCACTGCTGGCCTTGATTGAAGCTTTGGTCTAGTTCATTTTGGGGGGCTTTCAGGCCTTGTGTACCCTGCTGTACAGCTGATGCTCAGGCCCAGATAGCCTAAAGCTCCTGGGACACCTAGCCTCTCATGGGGCATTGAGGAGCCAGAATATACTACCATGAGGCATCCTTGGTATGGTCTCCAATGGCCATGCTTTGCTGTGTCAGGCCTGTGACATCTGTGCCATTGCCATGAGCTTGGTGGCCTATGTGATCCACAGCTTGGTTAACATCTGCTTCATTGGCACTCAGGATCTCTTCTCCCTATTGCTGGCCCTATGGGATGCAGTGATGGGACCACTGTGGAGGATGATGGACGTTATGGATATCTTCATAGCTCACATTTCCAGCAGTGCTATAGCCATGGCCATCCTTCTCTGGACCTCCTGCCAATTAGCACTGGAGCTCCTGGCTTAAGCTGCCTGCCTCTTGGCCAGTTTTGTGCTTGTCAGTCTCACTGGCCTGGTGTTGCTGGCTTGTGTGCTGGCAGTAACAGTGGCCATGTTGCACCCGAAGCTCACCATGAGGCTGCACCTGTGCACTCAGCCCGCTCCATGCCTGGCCATCCTACCACCAGCTTCAATAGGATGTGAGACTGTCTCACCTAGCACTAGGCTTGGATACTTGGTGCCAAGTCTAGAGCTGTAGCCTGCATCTGGCAAGCTGGCTGAACTGGGGAGGGGCACCTGGGGCTTCTTAGGTTGTCCCTGGGAGGGTGCCCTCAGCTAGGACCTGGCAACAGGACACTCTTCCTGAAGCAAGGACCAGATCAGAGGCAGAAGAGGAGGAAGTCAGAATGACCAGAGTGACAGCTGCCTGGGGCAGGGAGAGACTCAATGAGGAGGAGCCTACAGGTGGGCAAGACTCATGGAAGTTGCTGAAAGAGCAGGAATGAAAGAAGTGCATTATCTGCCAGGACCAGAGCAGGGCAGTGCTGCTTCTGCCCTGTTGGCACTTATATCTTTGCCAGGCCTGCACTGAAATTCTGATGCGCCACCCAGTCTACCACTACAACTGTCCACTTTGTTGCCAGGGTATTCTGCAACCCCTCAATGTCTACATCTGAAAACTCCCATCCTCCTTGCCCACTCCTCCAGCTCCATGCTTCTCACAGGCACCTGTGTTAGGACAGCGGTAACACCTGATCTCTCAGTCCTGGCTATGATCCACTTCTGCCCCCATGGCTGGCATGCTAAGCCTCCAAGCCATACATACACGACATTGAGATGGGATACCCTGGAAGACTGTGACCTGGGTGGGGGCAGGGTAAAAGTTTCTCTTGACTCTGGGTCCCTGTGATGTTGAAAGTGTGTCACTTTTCCAGACCCTGAGGCTGTTTGCTGTGGATACCCCTCCAGTTTGCCCAGGGCCTACCCTAATGCCAGCCTCTGGGGCTTCCCCTCTCTGCTTCTGTTTTTTTCTGTTCGGGATTTGCAGGTCCTCTCCCTGGCCTCTCTCCAGTGCCTCCCCATCTTTTTCAGCCATAGCACATCAGTGTCATTTGGGTGTTTTGGCAACTCAAGGGCCTTGGAATGATCTTGAACCTTTGCTTTCAGGCAGAGTTCTTGTGCCTGCTAGGTTTTGGGTGCCCTTAGAGCTACCAGTTTTGCCTATCATGATCTGATGAGGCACCTTCCCAACATGATCCAACAGCTGGGATCAGGAGTTTATCCCTGAGGGTGGGGCATTTATCTGCATCTGGCTTTGGGACAATGAACCCTCACCCCAGCTCCACTGGGAGCCTCAGGAGAAAAAACCAGATTTCTATTTCTATTCACTCCTTTCCACTCCCCACATCACAGAAAAAATAGCATTCCGCTTGTTTGTCTGTCCCTGGCTTTGGGGAGGGCAGACTATGCACACTTCACTAGGGTCCAAACACAGTAGGGACCAGGACCTAGGGGCATGCAGTTCCCTGAGGGGTCTCCTGGCCCAGTTTCCAGTGAATAAAGTTTTGTTGACAACTGACAAAAAAAGTTGTGTCATCAGCATTCATCAAGGTATAGGGAGGAGGGTATTCTTACGAGCTTCTGGTGGCAGTGTAAATTGGTAGAAAGTACATGAAGAATAATTTGGAAATATATAGTAAATTCTTCCAATATAGGAGATGAAGGTAGATCTGTAGAGGAAAAAGAACAATGTTTTCTCTCTCTCCAACCTAGAGCCCAGAATTTGTTCTACCCAAAGAAATTAGGTTTCTGGTATTGATGAGGGAGCAGGGTTTGCCCAATTTTCCCGTTATTCTATTTCCTGGATTTGTGTGGGATATACAGAGTAGATAAATGCTGAAACAGTGAAGTCGATGTAGATTTAACTGAGTTATTCTGGGAGATCTAAATCAAATATGGTTTCACATGGTTCCTTGTATCTTCCCATCTCTGCCTTCCAAGGACTCTTCCCTTTCCAAAAGAAGGGTTCAGAAAAGAAGGTTCATCTCTTGCAAATCTCACAGCTATGTCTCAGGTAAGATGATGTTTCTTCTTTTTCTGAAATAACTTGTTTTCAGGTTATATGAACATTTATTTTCCCATCCTTAATTTTCCTGGATGTTGAGATTTGCTTTTGTGAAACTAGTCTCCAGTAGGACCCAGGTTGGGTAAGGCAAGCAAGTGGCCTAGGTGTAAAATTTAAGGAGTACTTTTAGACTTGTGCATCCCTAAATTTTGCACGATAGGTGACTTGCCTGTTTCAGTCTAGTAGCAGCTCTGTTCCCAATTTCTCTTATTCCAACCGGGAAAAATTAAGCCTTCCCCAAGTGCACCTTCTAGTTATAGCCAGTGTTCACATATAGAGTTGGTATATCATCATCATTTCCTTTCTGTCTTCTCAAAAAAGTACTGCTGGAACAGAAAAGTATTATCTTGATTTAAATGAGAATATATTACTTGAATAAATCTAGTCTAGACACTAATTTGGGATCTAAGTTGTAAGGAGTAAGGGTACGGAAATGGAAAAACCTCGATTATCCCTACTGACCTAGGTTTTGAAGTTAATGGACCACATTATTAGTTTATGGTAAGGTGTCCTGTTTTGTGAGGCTCTCAGGATTGAGATTTACTTGCAAGTTTGTCAGAAAACTGAGATTTTGCATTTCTACTTTTTGATCCTCTTGTTTTGTCTATGTCTTCCAGCAGTTTCTACAAACTGTGGCCTGCCAGTGAAAACCTTTTCAGTATTCCAGTGCTGTTATAATTATATATTTAGTTTCTTCTAATTTTTATATATGGGTACAAGAAAAGGAAATGCATATGCTAGTCCATACTTGAAATATTCTACTCTTGAATCAAATGTGGATCATTGTCTCATTTTCATTTTTCTTTCAAAAATATATCTTCATTAACCAATCTTTAAAATATTGGTTTTCCAAAGACTCTAATTGTTTCTTTTCTCTTCACTATCTCTTTTTCTCTATTCACAATCAGATTAACTCTAAAGGTTATGTTGATGTGATCCTAGTGACTCTCAAATACCTTTCTCCATCCTAGAACCTCATATTCAAACTCCAATAGCTATCACCACCTGTATGTTCCATAGTCACTTCAAATACATTTCCAAGGCTTACCTCATTACCTTCTTTTTTTAAAATTTTTTTTATTGATTATGCTGTTACAGTTGTTCTATTCCCCCTTTCATTCCCCTCCACCCTACCCCCCATCCCCACCATTACCCCCCTTTAGTTTATGACCATGTGTCTCAAGTCCTTTAGATTCTATATTTCCCATGCTATTCTTGCCCCCCCCCCTTCTATTTTCTATCTACTGTCTATGCTACTTATTTTCTGTACCTTCTCCCCCCTTCTCCTCCTCCCACTCTCCTGTTGCTAACCCTCCTTGAGATCTTCATTTCTATGTTTCCACTCCTGATCTAGCTGTCCTTTTAGTTTGCTTTTGTTTTAGGTGTGGTTGTTAATAACTGTGAGTTTGTTGTCCTTTCACTGTTCATGTTTCTTTAACTTCTTTTTCTTAGATAAGTCCCTTTAACATTTCATAGAAGAAGGGCTTGGTGATGATCAACTCCTTGAATTTGATCTTATCTGAGAAGCACTTTATCTGTCCTTCCATTCTAAATGAAAGTTTTGCTGGATAGAGCAATCTTGGTTGTAGGTCTTTGGATTTCATGACTTGGAATACCTCTTTCCAGCCCCTTCTTGCCTGTAAGGTCTCTTTTGAGAAATCTGCTGACAGTCTGATGGGGACTCCTTTGTAGGTGACTGTCCCCTTAGCTCTTGCTGCTTCTAGGATTCTCTCCTTCATTTTAATTTGGCTAATGTAATTATGATGTGCCTTGGTGTGTTCTTTCTTGGGTCCAATTTCTTTGGTACTCTCTGAGCTTCCTGGATTTCCTGGAAGTCTATTTCCTTTGCCAGATTGGGGAAATTCTCCTTTATTATTTGTTCAAATAAGTTTTCCACGGGTGGCTGTGCCTTTCCCCCTTCTGGTACCCCTATAATTCGGATGTTGGAGCATTTAAAGATGTCCTGGAGGTTCCTAAGACTCTCCTCATTTCTTTGAATTCTTGCATCTTGACTCTTTTCTGTTTGGCCATTATTTGCTTTCTTCTGGTTCACTCCATTAATTTGAGTCCCAGTTTCCTTTTCATTGCTTTTGGTGTCCTGTGCAATTCCATTCATTTCCATTAGTTTTGCCTTCATATGTTTGTCTAATTTGTGGCTATAATCAACCAGTTCTGTGAGAATCCTGATCACCAGTGTTTTAAACTGTGTGTCTGAGAGTTTTGCTATTTCTTCATGGCTTAGATTTATAGGCGCTGGGGCTTTGAGATCTTCTTGCGCCACTTTTGGTCTGTTTGCGTCCTTTAAGTGTGAGAAGCGGCGCCTTGGACTCCCAGGTCACTGGGTTGTGACGCTGTATGTGGAGGCGTGGTCAGAGCGGGGAAATGGCGACTCCCTCTGCTGTTTCTCACAGCTGGGTGAGGAGCAGCGCCTTAGGTGGTTCACCTGGGCCGGGCCACTCAGAGTTGCTGGGTTATGACCCTGTATGTGGAGGTGGGGTCAGAGCGGGGAAATGGCAGCGCCCTCCACTACCACTTGCCGCGGGGACCTGCTGGGCCCGGTCCAACTGCCCACTCCCTCGCCTGTCCACCCGCACACAAATGCGCAACCACAGTCAACACGCAGCCACACTCCCCCGCTGTCTCCCCCGCTGTCGCTCGCCTGGTCGCTCCCTCGGTCGCTCACCAGATCCAACGCTGCGCCTGGATTCCACGCGCCTGGATTCCGCGGGCCTGAGTCCGTCTGACCGAGTCCTCCTGTGCAACCCCGCTCCACCAGCCGCTGGTTTCACCCCTTACCGGTCAGGCTGAAGAATTTGTTGTTAACGGACTTCCGAAAAGTTCAATTTTCCATGTTCTGGCTATGTTTTCTGTTGCTAATATTTAGTTGTCTCTAATCTTGGTTGTGTGAGAAGGTATGGCACATCCACCTATGCCTCCATCTTGGCGGAAGTCTCATTACCTTCTTTATAACAGTTTATACTTTCTTTTGATTCCCATTTCCATTTTCTAGTTCCACCACGTACCCAATTGCTTATGCAGATAACTGAAGAGCCATGCCTCTCTTTTTTCCACTCTACAACCAATTTATAACCAGCAACTCATCATAGCAACCAGTGGTTCCCTGTCTAGACCACTAATAACACCAAATCTATGAGACATTTCTAATAGTGATTGCTTAATTGTTTTTCTCACCTTACATATCTCAAGCCTTATATAGTCAGAATATTGCCTCTAGCCCTGATCAGTGTGGCCCAGTTGGTTGTGTGTCATCCCACAAAACAATAGGTCACTGGTTTGATTTCTGGTTATCACACATGCCTGGGTTGTGGGTCAGTCCTTGGTTGGGGCATGTGGGAGAGGCAGTTGATTACTGTTTCTCTCTTATACCCATGTTCTCTCCATCTCTTTCTCCCTCCCTTCCCCTCTCTCTAAAAATAAATATTAAAATCTTTAAAAACATAAGTAAAATCTTTAAAAAAAAGAGTATTGCCTCTAAAGTACAAAATTTATCACATATGTGTTGACTTAATAATTTTTCATTTTCTTTTTACTCCATAAAGCAGCTGACCTAAAGTGGAGTTTGTATTACAGTGGAATGTATAAGACAGTATACTGAATGAGAGGAAAATACTACAGTTTACAATCTGTAGTCATTAACAATGTGGATTGCCATTAATGACTACCGATGATTTATTTTTTAAGTATATTTTATTCATTATACTATTACAGTTGTCCCATTTTTTCCCCTTCATTCCCCTCCACCCTGCACACCCCCTCCCACCCACATTCCTCGGGTCATACATATAAGTTATTTGGCTTCTACATTTCCTATACTATTCTTACCCTCCCACTTTCTGTTTTCTACCTACCATCTATGCTACTTATTCTCTGTACCTTTTCCTCTTCTCTCCCCCTTCCAACTCTCCTGTTGATAACTCTCCATATAATCTCCATTTCTGTGTTTCTGTTCCTAATCTAGTTGTTTGCTTAGTTTGCTTTCGTTTTTATTTTAGGTGTGGTTGTTAATGATTGTGAGTTTGCTGTCATTTACTGTACATGTTTTTTATCTTCTTTTTCTTAAATAAGTCCCTTTAACGTTTCATATAATAAGGGCTTGGTGAGGATGAATTCCTTTAACTTGACCTTATCTGGGCAGCACTTTATCTGCCCTTCCATTCTAAATGAAAGCTTTGCAGGATAGAGTAATCTTGGATGTAGGTCCTTGCCTTTCATGACTTGGAATACAGTGATCCCTCACCTATTGCAGCAGTTACATTCCAGAGATCCCCACAATAGGTGAAAATCCATGAAGTAGTGACCTTATACTTATTTTATTATTTATATATGTCTTAAGGCTTTATAAACCCTTCCCACACTCCTATAAACCTTTCCCACACTCTTATAAACACTTCATATGCTCTTAAACACTTTCTACATTCATAAACCTATGTAATTTTAACAACATATAAAATTCTATGTGGGTACTTACCAGTGAAGAATAAAACCCACAATACAGTGAGGCCACAATAACTGAACCGCGATATAGTGAGGGACAACTGTACTTCTTTCCAGTCCCTTATCACCGGTAAGGTCTCTTTTGAGAAATCAGCTGACAGTCTGATGGGGACTCCTTTGTAGGTGACTGTCCCCTTATCTCTTGCTGCTTCTAGGATTCTCTCCTTCATTTTAATCTTGGCTAATGTAATTATGATGTGTCTTAGTGTGTTTCTTCTTGGGTCCAACTTCTTTGGGACTCTCTGAGCTTCCTGGATTTCCTGGAAGTCTGGTTCCTTTGCCAGACTGGGGAAATTCTCCTTAATTATTTGTTCAAATAACTTTTCCACTTGTTGCTCTTCCTCTTCTCCTTCTGGTACCCCTCTAATTTGGATATTGGAATGTTTAAAGATGTCCTAGAGGTTCCTAAGCCTATCCTCATTTTTTTGAATTCTTTTTAAAATTTTTATTTAGTTATTTTTCAAGTACAGTCTCCTGTCCATTTCTCCCATCCCAGCCCCCCCACCCTGTGCTCCCCACCTCCCCTCCACCTACTCCCCCCCCCCAGTCCTCATCCCTGTGTCCTTCACACTTGTTCCTCCAAATCCCTTCCCCTTTTCCCCCTTAAATTCCCTTCCCTCTCCCCTCTGGTCACTGTCCCCTTGTTCTCTATTTCAGTGTCTTGGTTTTTATTCTGCTTGCTTGTTTGTTTTGTTGTTTAGCTTCCTGTTAAAGGTGAGATCATATGGTATTTGTCTTTCAACACCTGGCCTATTTCACTCAGCATAATGCTTTCCAGTTTCATCCATGTTGTTGCAAAGGGTAGTAGCTCCTTCTTTCTCTCTGCTGCATAGAATTCCACTGTGTATATGTACCACAATTTTTTGATCCATTCATTTACTGATGGGCACCTAGGTTGCTTCCAGCTCTTGGCTATTGTAAATTGTGCTGCTATGAACATTGTGGTGCATAGGTTCTTTGATATTGATGTTTTAGGATTCTTAGGATATAACTCTTGTTTCTTTATTTTTTTCTGTTTGGTTGTTTCTTTCTTCCTTCTGGTCCACTCCATTGATTTGAGTCCCAGTCTCCTTCCCATCACTATTGGTTCCCTGTACCTTTTTCTTTATTTTACTTAGTGTAGCCTTCATTTTTTCATCTAATTTGTGACCATATTTAACCAATTTTGTGAGCATCCTGATCACCAGTGTTTTGAACTGTGCATCTGATAGGTTGGCTATCTCTTCGTCACTTAGTTGTATTTTTGCTGGACCTTTGATTTGTTCCTTCATTTGGGCCATTTTTTTTTGTCTTGACAGGCCTGTTATGTAGTAAGGGGAGGAGCCTTAGATATTCACCCTGATGTGGTAACGCATGTCACTGTGTTGTGATGCTATATGTGGGGAAGGGGTCTGAGAGGGAACAGTGGTGCCTGCTCTGCTCTCTGCCGGACTTCAGTCACTTCCTCCACTTTCCACAAGCAAATTGGGCCCTATGGTGCTGATTTCCGGGTGAGTGGGTTTGTGTATGTTCTAGAACCCTGTGGTTCTCTCCAGCTAATTCTTTTGTGAAGCTGGGAGTTTCTCCCGCTGCCACCTTAACCCCCACAAGTGTTTTCAATCAGTGGTTTGAGGGTTTATTTTCTTGCACTGGGGCCTTGGGTTGTGCAAGTCTGTCTCCCTCCCCAGTTGTTTCTCTTGGTTTGTCAGCATGGGTACGCAGGACACCCGGTCCCTCAGCCAGAGCCTTACTAGGTCTGCCTGCTGCTGCCTTGCCAGCCAGCTGCAGCCTTGTGTACCCCACTCCACAATCCGCCGCTTCACTGGGTCTGCCAGCCGCCACCTTGCTGGCCCTGGTCCCCCATCCACTGCCTTGCCTCAAGTCCTCTCTGCCCAGCTGCCATCTCTGCCCCTCCTACTGGTTTGGTTGAATGTGTCTTCTTTAACTCCTTGGTTGTGAGACTTCCATACAGTTTGATTTTCTGTCAGTTCTGGTTGTTTTTTGTTTTTAAATTTGTTGTCCTTCTTTTGGTTGTTCGAGAAGGTACAGTGTGTCTACCTAAGCCTCCATTTTGGCTGGAAGTTCTGCCTACCAATGATTTATAAATAAATACTAATATCTTTGTAGTGTGCTCAGTAAATTTTTAAGACCATTTCTGTATAGGAAAAAATCTGTTATTATTCCATAAATATATCTACTGCCTACTTCCATATACCTTTTTCTTCTTAGGGCTCAAAGACTCTTTTTTTTCAGATTGTATTTATTTATTTTTAGAGAGAGGGGAAGGGAGGGAAGAAGGAAGGGAGAGATACATTGATGTGTGATAGAAACATCTATCCATTGCTTCTTGCATGCATTCAGACTGGGGACCAAACCTGCAACCCAGACATGTGCCCTGACCGGGAATCGAATTGATGACCCTTCGCTTTGCAGAATGATGCCCTACCAACTGAGCCACACTGGTCAGGGCTCAAAGACTCTTTCTTAACAAATTGTGTCTTTTGCTACTTCCTGAATTTACTAACTGGTTTTTCTCTCCCCACAAATTTAAAAAGGTGGTGCTTGTATTCCTACAAAACAAGTTCATTGTGAATTCAAAAATTTTATGTACTCAATGAAGACTTGGAATACAAAATGAAATTTTTCTTCACTTTGTAGCACTTTTTTCCTCATGCATATTTCTGTTCTTGCATATGTGATATCTATTGAGTGTATGTCTTTACATGCAATGCCTCTCTCTTAGCCTGTAACTTCTTGTTATTGTGGTCAGTTATATTCATTTTGGTCCACTGGGCAACCAATCACATTCAAGGTAAATAGTATATTCTTATGTATTTTTAGCAGGAGATAAGTAAATGCAGATGAATGTATTTTCAAGAGAATGTCTGCAATATAAAACAAAATAATAAAACTAGTTTTACGACTAAACATGGTCAAAACTAGGTCTCCAATATCTAGTTTTCATTAGTTCCAACTACTTTAGAATTAACTACAGTATGTTCTTACAGGGATCAGTGTCATTTAAAGATGTGACCGTGGACTTCACCCAAGAGGAGTGGCAGCAACTGGACACTGATCAGAAGGCCCTGTACAGGGATGTCATGTTGGAAACCTATTGCCACCTTGTCTCTGTAGGTAAGAAAACCCCTTAAATCTATTAGTGTCAGCATCTCCTTTCAAGAGTTTCTGAAACTTAATGGGTTTGAATTTCAGGAAATAGAGGTGATGAATCTCTCTCTCTCTCTCTTTTTTTTTTTTTTAGCAGAAAGGTATGGCTATGTTCTCACTTGCCTAGTGCAAGGTATTAACTTGCATGTTATATGAAGGTATACATATGATTGTATACATGTCTGCTACCTTGAAGCTATATCTTTCTCTTCCTTCAATGGTTTTTAAGCCCAAGGAGGTTAGATTAAGTCTCATTAAAATTTTTTATTGAATTTAATGGGGTGACATTGGTTAATAAAATTATATAGGTTTCAGGTATACAATTCTATAATACATCATTTGTATATTGTATTTTTTCACCACCCCAAGTTAAGCCTCTTTCCATCACCATTTATCTCCCCTTTACTTTTGTCTACTGCTCCCTACCTCCCTTTCCCTCTTGCAATCACCATATTGTTGTCTGTATCCATGAGTTTTTTCTTTGCTTAATCCCTTCACCTTTTTCACTTAGTGCCCCCAACCCCCTTTCCCTCTAACAGCTGTCACAGCCTGTTCTCTATATCTATGAGCCTGTTTCTACTTTGTTACTTTTGTTCATTGGGTTCCACATATAAAAGAAATCATATGACACTTATCTTTTTCTTAGTGGCTTATTTCACTTAGCATAATACTCTCTAGGTCTTTCTATGCTATCATAAAAGGTAAGATTTCCTTCTTACTTATTCCATTGTGTAAATGTACCACAACTTTTTATCTTCTCATCTACCATCTGATGGGCTCTTGAGCTACTTCCAAGTTTTGGCTATTGTAAATAACACTCTAATGAACATAGGGATGCATATATTCTTTCAAATTAGTGTTTTGGATTCCTTTGAATACATTTCCAGAAGCAGAATTACTGGATCATAAGGTAGGAATCACGCTACCTGATATCAAACTGCGCTACAAGGCTAAGTAATCAGAGCAGCATGGTACTGACATAAAAACAGACATAGATTAATGGAACAGAATAGACAGCCCAAAAATAAGTCTTATTTTTATCATTAGGGTTTCACATGACTAAGCCTGATATGATCCGCAAGTTGGAAGAAGGAGAAGAACTATGGACAACAGAGAGAATTTTTCCAAGTCAGAACTATTTCGGTGAGTCTGTACAGATAAAGACCAGTTGACTCAGGTAGCTGACAGCTATGAATGTTTTTAGGGATATGTTGTTTTTTAATTGTGGTAAAATACATATAACATAAAATTTACCATCTTATCTTAACCATTTTAAGCATATAGTTCAGTGGCATTAACTACATTTATATAGTTTTGTGCAACTATTATCACCATCCATTTCTAGAACCCTTTCTATCTTTTATAAGTGAAATTCTGTTATCATTAACAACAACCATTATTCTCACCCACTTTGTCTCTGGCAACTACCATTCTATTTTCTGTCTCTGAATCTGACTACTCATAGGTATCTCATATAAGTGGCATCATATGGTATTTGTCCTTTTTGTGACTGGCTTACTTAACATAGTGTCCTCAAGGTTCACCCATGTTGTAGTATGTATTTCCTTCTTTTTAAGGCTGAATAATATTCCATTGTATGTATATCCCACATTTAGCTTATTCATTGATTTTTCAGTGCACACTTGGGTGGCTTCTACTTTTTTACTTCTATGAATAATGCTGCTATGACTGTGGGTGTACAAATATCATTTGAGTCATTGTTTTTCTTTTGGATATATAACCAGAAGTACAATTGGTAGATCTTATAGCTCATTGGTTTAATTTAAAAAGTGTTCCCTGGTGGGTATAGCTCAGTGGATTGAGCGTGGGCCTGCAAACCGGAGGATTGCAGTTCGATTCCCAATCAGGGCACATGCCTGGGTTGCAGGCCGGTTCCCTGCAGGCCAGTTGCAGGGAGGCATGAAAGGTAACCATAAATTGATGTTTCTCTCCCTCTCTCCTTCCCTTCCCCTCTAAAGATAAATAAATAAAGTCTAAAAAAATTTTTTTAAAGAAGTGTTTTTTGGTTGTTCAGTTACAGTTGTCCCTCTTTTCCCGCATTGCTCTCCCCTGACCCACAAACCCCATCACTCCCACACTCAATCCACACCCCACTGTCCTGGCCCATGGGTCCTTTATAAATGTTCCTTGACTTGCCCCATCTACATCTTTCCCCTATTATACTCCTTCCCACCCTCTCTGGTTACTGTCACTTTGTTCTTTATTTCAGGGTCTCTGGTTATATTTTGCATGCTTGTTTTATTGATTAGGTTTCATTATAAGTGAGGTCATAGGGTATTTGTCTTTTTTTTATGTAGAAAAGCAATTTATTCCATTATAAGCACTTACACAATTAGTCATAGAGAATAACAGGCCTGCTGGTGAAACAGGTCACCCAAAACAGATGGTATCAAACAAGTGGTCAAGGATTAACTCCTAAAAAAAAAAGGCAACTCTTATCTGGGATAAATTTAACTTTAAAAACAAATACAAGCTATTGATTCACTCTTCTCAACTGACAGTCTACCTGTAGTAAAACTGTCAGGTAAAAACATACATCTTTACAACTTGGTGGTCCCAAGTTTTTTTTAAAAACCATTTCACAAAAAGGAAAGAAATAATATGAAAACTGCTCAAGAAATACACTAACAAGAAAAAATATATGTGGAAAAGGGAACATGTAGTTTTGACTTAACTCAAGAAACTCAGAAGAAAATGTGCATTCTGGAAAGACAGGTGTGAAGACTTTAGAGTAGCAATTTATGACTTGAATCTCCCCTAATTCCTGAATAAAAATGACATCTTGAAGTACTTGTACTTCATGGCTCAGACACCTTTCTCACTTGGCTCTATTTCTTACTTCTAACCTTTACTTAAATGAGTTAAAAAAACTTGGGGATATAGCATTAGAAGAAAAATAAAATAACCACACACAATAATCCCCTTTTGGTGGCTACTTTAGATTTTTGTTATTAGAAAATTCCTGAAGAAAATTTAAATATAAGTCTGTGGCTTTGCTGAATCAAGTCCCCCAGTTAACATTTAGAAAATACCCTCAGTTTGGGCTAATAGCATTGTTGATGGTACCTAATACAGAGGGATAGCTGAACAAAGTCTGGGTCTCAAAACCAGTGTTAAATCAGTATCATCAGGGTGGAAAGGAAAAAAGGGGAGTCTAAAATCACAAGAAGTGCAGATGTATTTAAGACTCCTGTCCTTCTGGATCCACGCTTCCTTCAGGGTCTTCATCATTATAAATGTTCTCTGCCATTTGCCACACTTGCATGATATTGTCTTCTGACACAGAACAGATCACCCAGGGTTCATTGGAATTCCAGGAAAAATCAGGTATCTTGGCAGTGTGACCACCATGAATAAACGACTCTGGTGGTCTATCTTCTGCATCTTCTGGGGATTGTTCCTCCCCAATTTTACTTAAATCCCAGACATTTAGTCTGCAATCAGTACCACTGGAAGCCAAAATAGTCTCATTGTGAGGTGACCACTGAACCTGAAATATTTCATCCTTATGTGATTCAAAGGAATGCAATTTAAGTTTCAGATTTCTCAGATCCCATGAGGCAACAGTCTTGTCAGCTGATCCTGTGGCAAGAATGAACTCACTATAAGGATTGAAAGAAAGGCAGTTCACTTTGGCAGTGTGAGCATCAACTGAGTGACTTGGTTTGGAAGTGTTGTTTGAATGAGTATCCCAGATCATAAGTTTCTGATCATCAGCAACTGACCCAAACAGAGACTCATGAAGCAGATGCCAGGAGACATCTTCCACTACTGCTGTGTGCCCTGTAAAGATGGTCTTCACATCCACAACCTTTCCTTCCTTTGGAACAGCACTGATGTCCCATAGGCAGATGGTATGATCATCTGAAGCACTAAGTAAGTGCCCACTGAGATTTGGGTTCCAAGAAAGCCCATAGCCTTCCTTCTGATGTCCACGGAGATGCAAATCTGGGTTACACTCTCCACAAGGATCTGGTTTAGAAGGATGTTTTGTATAGTCAAAAACAAGAATATCACTGGACAGAGTCTTTGTTGCAGTGATGCAGGGGTTCTGCGGCATATAACGTGCCCTGTTTACTTTTCCTTCATGGTTGATCTTGATTTCTATTTCAATTTTTCCACTGACAGAGCCAAAACCTCCAAATTCTCCTTTCTCACTGTCATAGTGTGAAGCATCAAACTGAGCATCATCATTAGGGTGCTGCACACTGGCTATCACAAGGTGGTTTTGTTCATCCAACATGTGTGTCCCCAGGACAAGCCGATGAATGCTGAAATTTTTCCCTTCTGGTCTGGTTACATATAGAAGCCACTGTGCAGTTAAGCTGGGCCACTCCAGAGGTCATCACCAAATCATAAAGAAAAGGGGTGTTCTTTTCTCATATTTTGTACTCTTTGTTGATCACACGTTCCTCTGCTGTGTCATCGAAGGCTGCTTCCTTGTCGGCCATGGCGGGCAGGCAAGCCAGGGGTATCCCGAGGTCTACTGTTGCGGGAGGGGTGGGGAGTCTATAGGCCTGGTATTTGTCTTTTACCACCTGCCTCACTTAGCATATACTCTCCAGTTCCATGCATGCTGTTGCAAAGGGTAGGAGCTCCTTCTTTCTTTCTGCCATGTATTATTCTATTGTGTAAATGTACCATAGTTTTTTGATCCATTCATTCACTAATGGGCACTTAGGTTGGTTGTTGTAAATAGTGCTGCTATGAACATTGTGGGGTATAGGTTCTTTGAAATAAGTATTTCAGGATTCTTATGGTATATCCAAGCAGTGGAATTGCTGAGTCAAGAGGTAGTTACATTTTTAGGTTTTGAGGAAATTCAATACTGTTTTCTACAGTGGCTGCACCAGTTCCCTTTTCTCCACAACCTCGCCAGCACTTGTTGTTTGTTGATTTGTTTATGATGGCCATCCTGACTGGTGTGAAATGGTATCTCATTGTGGTTTTAATTTGCATTTCTCTAATGGCTAGTGATGCTGACCATCTTTTCATATGTCTCTGGGCCCTCCGTATGTCCTCAGAGAAGTGCTGTTCAGGCCCTTTGCCCATTTTTATATTGAATTGAAATGTTTGTCTTCCAGGGGTTGAGTTGTGTGAGTTCTTTATATATTTTAGAGGTCAAACTCTTGTTTGAGGTATCATCGGCAAATATATTTTCCCATAGTTGGGTCCCTTTTCATTTTGCTGATGTTTTCTTTAGATGTGTATAAGCTTTTTATTTTCATAAAATCCCATTTTTAATTTAAAAACATTTAAAATATATTTTATTGATTATGCCATTACAGTTGTCTCATTTACCCCCCTTCATTCTCCTCCACCCTGCATACCCCCTCCCACCCACATTCCCCCCCTTTAGTTCATGTCCATGTGTCATAAGTTCTTTGGCTTCTACATTTCCCACACTACTCTTGCCCTCCCCCTGTCTATTTTTTCCCCACCGCCTATGCTACTTATTCTCTGTACCTTCTCCTTCCTCTCCTCCTTCCACTCCTCTGTTGCTAACCCTCCATGTGATCTCCATTTCTGTGGCTTCACTCCTCATCTAACTGTCCACTTATTTTGCTTTTATTTTAGGTGTGGTTGTTAATAACTGTGTTTTGCTGTCTTTTCACTGTTCACATTTTTTATCTCCTTTTTCTTACATAAGTCCCTTTAACATTTCATATAATAAGAGCCTGGAGATGATGAACTTGAACTTGACCTTATCTGAGAAGCACTTTATCTGCCCTTCCATTCTAAATGAAAGCTTTGCTGGATAGAGCAATCTTGGCTGTAGATCTTTGGATTTCATGACTTGGAATACTTCTTTCCAGCCCCTTCTTGCCTGCAAGGTCTCTTTTGAGAAACCAGCTGACAGTCTGATGGGAACTCCTTTGTAGGTGACTGTACCCTTATCTCTTGCTGCTTCTAGAATTCTCTTTCATTTTAATCTTGGCTAATGTAATTGTGATATGCCTTGGTGTGTTCCTCCTTGGATCCAACTTCTTTGGGACTCTCTGAGCTTCCTGAACTTCCTGAAAGTCTATTTCCTTTGCCAGATTGTAGAAGTTCTCCTTTATTATTTGTTCAAATAAGTTTTCCACTTGTTGCTGTTCCTGTTCTCCTTCTGGTACCCCTATAATTCAGATGTTGGGATGTTTAAAGATGTCCTGGAGGTTCCTAAGCTTCTCCTTATTTTTTTTTGTCCTCTTCTTTTTTCATTCTTGTCTGTTTCATTGTTTCTTTCTTCCTTCTGGTCTTCTCCTCTGATTTGCATCCCAATTTTTTTCCATCATTCTTGGTTCCCTGTGCATTTTGCTTCATTTCACTTAGTATAGCCTTCATTTTTTCATCTAATTTGTGTCTAAAATTAACCAGTTCTGTGAGCTCCTGATCACCAGTGTTTTGAACTGTGTATCTGATAGTTTGGCTGTCTCTTGGTTGCTTAGAAGTATTGGCTTTGGGGCTTTAATCTGTTCTTCTGTTTTAGCCATAATGTTTTGGTTTGGTCCCGCCTGTTATGTATTGAAGGGTGGAGCCTTAAGTGTTCTCCAAGGTGGGTCAACCCAGTTGCTGGGTTGTGACACTGTATGTGGAGGCAGGGTCAGAGAGGGAGCAGTGGTGCTTGTTGCACTCTCTCTTGGATTTCAGTCCCCTCTGTCACTTCCCACAAGCATATTGGGCCCTCTGGTGCTGGTTCCTGGGTAGGTGGGCTTATGTACATCCTAGGACCCTGCGGGTCTTTCCAACAAACTCTCCTGTGATGCTGAAAGTTTTTCCCAGCACCTCACCCTGAAGTTATTTCAGTTTGTGCTTTTAGGCTTTATATCTCATCACTGTGGCCCTGGTTTGCGTAGTCTGTCTCACTGCCCTTTTTTTTTTTGCCTGGTTTATCTTCGCATGAATGTGTGTCTGTGGTCAGCCAACCTCCTTGCACGTCTCACTGGTTTTACTCATTTCCTACCCACACCTGGGTCTGCTAACCACCACCTCCTCCAGCCGGGACCCCATCCCCTGGCCACTGACTCTGCTCCTCTTACTGGTCTAGATGAATGTTTCGTTGTTGCTGTACTTCAATACAGTTCAATTTTTTGTCTGTTCTGGTTGTGTTTTTGTTTCTAAATCGTTGTTGTCCTTAAATTTGGTTGTGCAAGGAGGTACAGTATTTCCACCTGTGCCTCCATCTTGTCCAGAAGTCCTATTTTTTGTTTTATGTCTCTTGGTCTAGGTCGCATATTGATGAAAATATTGCTGTGTGGAATGTTTGAGATTTTCCTGTTTGTGTTCTCCTCTAGGACTTTCATGGTATTGCATCATATATTTAAGTCCTTTATCCATTTGAGTTTATTTTTGTGTATGTTGTAAGTTGGTGGTTGAGTTTTGTTCTTTCTATGTACCTGTCCTCATATCCTAACATCATTTGTTGAAGAGGTTACTTTTACTCCATTTTATGCTTCTGCCCCTTGTGTTGAATACTAATTGACCATAGAGTCATGGGTTTATTTCTGGGCTCTCTATTCTGTTCCATTAATCTGTGTGTCTGTTCTTATGCCAGTACCAGACTGTTTTGATTATAGTAGCCTTGTAATATACTTTTATATCAAGTATTGTGATCCCTTCTACTTTTTTCTTCTTTCTCAAAATTGCTGCAGCCTGTAGTTTTCTTTCTTTATTGTATCTTTATCTGGTTTTAGGTTTAGGATGATGCTGGTCTCATAACAAGAGTTTGGTATTCTTACCTCTTATTTGTTTTTGTTTTTTTTTTTTGAATAGACTAAGAAGGATAGGGGTTAGCTCTTCCTTAAATGTTTTGTAAAATTCTTCTGTGAAACTGTCCAATCCAGGGCTTTTGTGTGCTGGGAGTTTTTTTGTTACTGCCTCAATGTCACCAGCTCTTCTTATAAGTCTGTTAAGGCTTTCTGCTTCTTTTTGATTCAGTTTTGGAAGATTATATTTGTCTAGAAATTTGTCTATTTTTGTCCAGGTTTTTAAATATCTTGGTATATAGTTGTTCATAGTGATTTAACATCCTTTGTATTTCTGTGGTATCAGTTGTAATGTCTTCTCTTTCCATTCTGATTTAATTTATTTGTGTTCTATCCCTTTTTTTCTTGATGTTCTGGTTAAAGGCTTGTTGATTTTATTTATCTTTTTAAAGAAACAGCTCCTGGATTTATTGATACTTTCAATTGTTCTTGTAGTCTCTATGTCATTCAGTTCTGCTCTGATCTTGATTTTTTCCTTCCTTCTACTCACTCTGGACTTTGTTTGCTGTTGTTTCTCTAGTTCTTGTTGATGTAGGGTTAGGTTGTTCATTTGAAATGTTTCTATCTTTTTTACATAGGCTTTTATTGTTACGAACTTCCCTCTCAGGACTACCTTCACTGTGTCCCATAGATTTTGGGCTTTGTGTGTTCATTTTCATTTGTTTCTGGAAACATTTTGATTTCTTCCTTTTTAAAATTAAAAAAAAATTATCTTTAGAGGGGAAGGGAAGGAGAGAGGGAGAGAAATATCAATGTATGGTTGCCTCCCATGTGTCCCCTGCTGAGAAATGGCCTGCAACCCATGCATGTGCCCTGACTGGGAATCAAACTGTGATCCTTTGGTTCAGAGGCCCACGCTCAATCCACTGAGCTACACCAGCCAGGGTTCATTTCATCCTTGATATCATTATTTATCCATTCATTCTTTAAAAGCATGCTATTCAGTCTCCATGAATTTGAGTGGTTTTGAATTTTTTCCTTGAGGTTGGTTTCTAGTTTAAAGCCATTGTGGTCCATGAAAATGCTTGACATGATTTCAATTTTCTTGAGTTTTTTGAGGCTTGTTTTGTGTCCTATGAAGTGGTCTTTGAAAATGTTTCATGTGGAGGAAGTTGGGCTGTATTAAAGCCAGACACTTGTTAAGGACAATGGGCTTAAATAACAGGATTTTACTCAAAAAAAAAAAAAAAAAGGCTTAGCCATTGTTTAAGGAACTCTCGAGCAGCAGCTGGCAGATATTGCTCTCCCAGCATCTAATTCATGCCACTTGCCTGGCAGCTGATTGGCACTGCTCCAGGAGGCTGATTTGAGCCACTAGTTTTCGCTGGACTTGGGCACCTAGCCCACCAACTGTTTTGTGCTGCTTGCTGTTAGGCTGATTGGCACTAATTGCTTGGCACCTGATTTGTGCTGCTCATGCTCTCAGCTGACTTGTAGTGGGCTTTGGCCACAGTGAGCTCACAAAGAGAAAGGAGGAGGCACATCACACCAACCACAGCACAACTGGTGGATTAAAGGTGCCAGCCTGGCACAGATGGACAGTGTGGACCCTGCAGCTCACAGAGGACATGGGCTGGCAACTGGGCAATTGTGAATATTGTAGCCTAGACCTGGTCCACATGCTCACAAAACAATAGGAAGGTAGAAAAGCAAAGCTCAGCTCCCCTCTTCCTATAGCATCGTGGAAGACTAGCAGAACTGGCTCTGTGGTTTTAAAGTCAGCAGGAGGCTTTTTTTATCCTCTCT